TTATCACAACAAAACTGACAAAGGTGGTGAAATCGCGTAAGTTCATTCGGAAACTTCAAACGCAAAATAAATTAATACCTAATGAGATACATGTACATTGACAACAGATATTAATCACATAAACCCAAATTTTCTAAACTTATCTACTATCGTCTTAGGTAATATTTAACTAAAAGTTAGTTTAACAAATCGTTGGTTCACTTATCTTAATTACGAAATTGCAACACAATAACTTATTTCGCTCGTAGATGTCGGTGGGCGTCGGTGAATTATATCGGTTTCGTTACTCGATAGATTGGATGGATAGAATTCCGATAGGGAATTTAATCGGTATTCATTTACCCGGTTTGGTAGTTCTGACATCGTAAAATCAAGGCGGTATTTTACATTTACCACATGGGTTATCAAAACGAAATAAGATGATATTACCAATATCACACTTATTTGGTTTATTTTAATGGTTAAACTTGATGCCAGTTAAACAAGGTTTTAATTACGTCATCAAATGGAATCATTATACACTTAACATCAAATAAACCGCACCTTCCGCGACGCGAACTTTAAAGATTTTCTTCTGACACAATCATGGTACCCCAACAATATTGGTGTTATTAGAAAGCTCAATAAATATCCTTAAAGAAAAATACATTTCATTTCTACATAAATGATTAACATTTACCATAAATATGACTTGAAAATAGACCTCACTTTGGGCTCACCTCTGGGAACAATTAGACCAATTTTTATGATTATAAAACCAAATAAAGATCTCACGTGTCCTCTTTAACAGATGAATAGCGATTAATCTCAACTTAACAGTTTTATAGTCATAAAAAATGGCTATAGCGTAACTACCTATTTTTTGAAGAAGTGACTCTGGATCCTTGTAAAGACACATTTTTGGGGTAAAAACCTTTCCTTTAATGAAATGAAGTTTAGAACTAGGCTTTCAAATGGTACCAACGTTGGTGGGAAGTGGGGATGCATACGTTTGATAAGTGCTTGTCGCGGGAGGTGCGATTTATTTGATGCCGAGTGTTGTTGGGTGTGTTGGGAGACGCCCCCGGCATAAGAAAAACCCGTTATTTATGACAAGTTGTGTCTCATAAAAAAGCTCATAAAACTTTTTTGCAAATAGGCTTTTAAAAAGCACTTTTACACGTCCCAGTATTAACCCTACCACTGCTTCGGGACAATAAATGGGCCAGTGCTGAGAAGAAGCAGCGCAAGAAACTGAGTCACTAATTGTCAGCCTCCTTTTCTATTAAGTTTTTTATTGTAAGGAAAATCCATCAAGATTTTTTAGATAAGTACGAATCCTGTATCGATGTATTCAAAATCGAAACGAGAATAACCGCTAATTTTTACCAAGTTCGTCTTTTATTCTTAGAAAGTTCAATGGGTACATTTTCTTTACTACTTTCATTATAAGTTATATTTTTATCGAGGAAATGGAATGTTTTTATTAAGTCACTAAAGCAGAAATCGCTTTAACTCCTAACAAGCCCGCAAAAACTGCAGCTTTCACTGTTAGGCCTTGTTGCTACTGCCTCATTCTTTCATAAAAATTAAAATAAAAAACTCAACAAAGCTTGTACCAAGTAGATAGTACCGGTTTTTTGTAGACCGATAGAAAATAGCAAAATGAGTATTGCAAGTTTCTTAATGATAAATCATGGAAATACCATCGAAAGATCGTGATTATATTATAATCATATTTTTGCAATAAGTCTGAGTAAATATTGCATTGGTTTTGAAATTGGTTCGTTTTAGTTAAAACCCAATATAACCCAAACAATCTAAAGGTTAAAAGAGCACATAAACGTTTATGAGCCAGACACATTCCAAAACCTTGATCACCAAGTTACGTTCTTTTTGGTTCGTGTGCTGAAGTGCTTAAAAAGCTACAATAATGATTTCACTTGCACCGATACAGCTGGTAATAAAACGGGAGTTTTATAGCCCAAGATAAATCTTAAGCTGGACGCTGTTGTTGGAAACAATTGATCCGCATTGCAAATTGTTTGAGTATCTTGTTGAGTAATGAAATGAAACACAATTGCTAATAAGTGCTTGATAAGTAAGCAGGAAAACGACTCCAATACTGCCTACTTAAGCGTGAAATATGTTTAAATTATTCAGAGCTCGTTTAGGTGTTTCGATTTTAGTGTCCAAATCTATTCAGACCTTCCAAATGCCTTTGAAGCACGTGATTTCACTGTTTGCAAGAAATTCCAAGCGGTGCTTTATGTTATCTTAAGAATTTTTTTTTCTTCTAAAATTCAATTGGATAGGTATTATTTATAGCATTCCCCTTTTTGTTGCAGCTGTGAGTTGTAATTGTAATAGGTTAGGCCAATATTTTTTGCTTTGTGATGTCATCATGCAATCAGCGTCCAGAGGCAAACTACAGCAGAAGAGATAAATGCAATGATGAAATTTTATTTTTATGCTATTACAGGTAAATTAATTTATTACTAAAAGTGTTTTTGACACATGCAGGAAAGCCAACACGTAGGCAGAAGCTAGTGTATAATAATTATCGTGAGCAGAATAGTAATTATAATATAGGTACTCGTAAGTATTTCACTGAGGGAAAGTGACTAACGTCATCATGGAAATTTACATATGGGGCATTGCCAATCCATTACTGACCTTTCAGAGACCTTTCAACATGAAAGTAACTCGCTTGGCACAATTTGAGAAGTATTAATTTGCATTACAAAATTGATTTAATCTCACCTCATAAGTGCCTTCGCAAAATTAATATCAGGAAGTAGAACCGTGTGAATAGATTAATCATTTATTTAAATTAATAACCCCAACTTAGTAATTATAATCTTAAATACAGCATACGGCGCATCAATTATTTCTCAATTCTCGATTTGTGTTGGGTATTATCTTTATATGTAATCTCTGACACCCACGATATCTCAAGCGTGTTATACGCGTTACAAATAGTATCACTTAATGCTGGTTTAAGGTTTCATAAAGTATCTATAGAGAGGTTTTAAGCAGCCTCTTAATTTGTTTTAAGTAAAGCGACGTTCGGAGATAAAGTTGTCTCGTTTGTTACCGGTGTACAGTCGCTAACAAAAATTATACCAACCAATTTATATTTGCATAACCAACCAAGTAATATATTACGACGTGATTGATTAATTAATTAGTAAAGCGACGATTAATTCCATGATCCCAACCAATTCCAAAGATAAACCATGATTTTATTAACAGTGGTTTAGAAAAATACAATACTAGTGCTGGAAACTGCTGAGTTGTTTAGTAGCACAACCATAAAGATTAATTTATTAAAGAAAAATTATAATAATAATAAGGTTAAAATACAGGGTGTCCCAAAAACAATGGATAACCCTATAACCATCGATAGGCCTCGCCATGGTCTCCCTAACGTCCAATTTTAACCCCAGTAAAAATATCACCGTTTTCAAGATTTTTAAGTTTTTGTGCATTTTTAGAAAATTGCCACCTGCGATTACTTTTTCTCATGCCATTTCTACAAATGAGGATACTTTTCAATCTAGTTTTTTTCCTTATCACAAGGGGTAGTTGGGCTATCAAAAGAAAATATTAAAGTTCAACAAACTAGTTTAAAAGTATGAAAATTTTAAGAAATTGCAGAGAAGAAGGAAAAATTAATTCATTGTCTTGCACTTTTGATCAGCCATCGTGTAAAAAAAATGTAGGAAGACCATCATGCCCATTATCTTAAAAACTTCCTTGGTTAATTGGGATTCTAAAAAGATATCACAAGCCTATGTATTCTGTATTATTTTTATCTTATGGCTACTTGAATGGCAACTAGTATGAAAACTGCAAAAATGAGTTTTTCTCGTAATAGTTAAACTAGGACTGCATAGTGGCATTAAATACAAATGGATAATTTTTAGCGCAGGAATTNTTTTAAGTAAAGCGACGTTCGAAGATAAAGTTGTCTCGTTTGTTAACTGTATACAGTCGCTAGCAAAAATTATATCAAGCAGTTTTTATTCTTTTCAAAGTAAAGCCATACGAAGTATACAACGTGATTTTAATTAATTAGTTAGTAAAGCGAAGATTAATTCCATGATCCCAACCAATTCCAAAGATAAACCATGATTTTATTAATATTAGTTTAGAATACAACAGGGCAGTACTCGAAACTGCTGAGTTATTTAGTAGCACAATCAAAAAAATTAACTTATTAAAGCAAAATAAAAAATATCAAAGATTATTATAGCAAGATTAAAATAGAACCTTTTTTTAGAACACTACGATTATGACCAGCGCGTGTGGCCGCTAATATCAATCACACAGCTTTGGATGAAAAATTTTGTCGGTCCAAAATGTGGCAGTACCCTAATTATCTAGTTAGACTGGATCTTTTCCTCGCATTTACGTTATTAACATAAATCAGCGCAGCAATGTAACAGCTATTAAACGTTAAGTGCGCGTGGTTAATCGCAAAACGATGTGTCGAGCAAAACCGCCTATTAAGTTGCGTAAAAAGTACATACCTACGTACTTGCATGCATACGATTCTGTAGCGTGAATTAATACTAGTATTTTATTAAAACATTCACGCTCGTTTGACTGTCTGAGTTTTTTTTATGCTTATAAGGTTTAACTTGTGTGTGTTTAGGGACTAGTTTAAGAACTCTACCTCCCAATATCACTATACTGTGTCAATACAACAATCATCATATTCAGAAGTAAGAAATGTTCTGTCACTTCTGTCTGATGGACAATCGTTTTAGGCGTGGCTACTGTTAAGGTATATCCTCCTCCACCAAAGGGACGGGCGCGGGGCGTTCCCTATGCATACTATGTTTAAAGAACCACTGCATTCTGCATACAATTGTTAAGAGCGTACAAGCAGTGCTGAAGAAAACAAATGAAACACGTTCGCCCCACGAACGCCCCGTCGTGTGAAGATACCTTTATACCCTTAATATGAACCTGTCTGTTGTTGTACAAAAAATAAAGAACTCAGCAGCACTTACCCAGCAGTTACAATTCCGATGTGTTCGCATTACTCAAATTATCTGTTCCAGTTGTCCATCTGCAACAAAAGCAAGTTGTTACTAACGAGAAACTAGCCACAGACTAAATACTCGCGTCTTATGTCATGGAAATAGATGCGATTTTTCAAGAAACACACGTAGATAATGTGCTCAACTGTACATTATCTGAATTAACTCTAACAAGACACGAACGTGTGGACTTATTGGTGTTTTTGCGGGTGAAATTATTATTATAAATTGTCGGCGACGTTTTTACAAAGGCGAAGAGAAAATCAATGGCTATTATGGTCTAAGTATAGACGTATATTATAGATGCTATTAGTCAATTAGGGACCTGCAAATAAAAATAAGTCAAATTATTTTAGTATTACTCTACACCACAACACAACTGGGACAATTATCCACGGCTTTTTGCTCTTTAAACTGTTTAAACTTAGATTAAAAACCAAGCAAAAAATCTAACGTTAGGAATAATAATAGAGTCGTTAACATAATATATTTAAAGGAATGGTAAATACTTATTAGAGCCGGTGTGAACTGAACACACGCATGAATGAAAAAGAATGACTCAAAAAAGTGAAGTCTTTATCAAGCAGTCATTTGTTCCGTCACGTAATTCCACTTCTAAGTACGACGGCACATGAAGTTAAACATTAGCACCTTAAGTAGTTTTGTTAAGTGCGATTTTGCAAAAAGAAATGTAGAGTCAGTACAAAAAATCAGTATTCAGTTTTTGTACCTCCGGTGTCGACGTACGAGATCGGATCTCTTCCTAGATGGTCACAAAAAGGCATCGGTGTTCCTTGAGGTCAGCTCCCAACATTGTCCGACTACAATGCCGATTGTTAGAAAGAATCCGAGACAATGGAACGGTCGACAATTAGCTTTGCCAATTAAATATTTGTTCGAGCCGTATTGTTTTCGATTGGCAAAACAAATAAAACAGATGGACCAAACAAGCGCAATTGATGGTGCCTTATTCGGAGTCAAATGGAGCTGCAATCACCTTGGATAATTAGTTACTGCTCAGTTTAAGGTGTGTCCGTATATGGTTTTGTCACATACGAGTGTATTCACGCGAAGTGATGTGATTGAGAAGCGTGGGCGTCACTTTAGGATTTCCAATTTAACGGTACCTTTTGTTGGATTTCATTGGAATCTTCGGTCGTTACGGAAAAGGACAGACAACTTTTGCAAATGAGTGCTAATACATATTATAACATGATCATTGAACTTTATTTTCGCGCCTATTCTAAAGCTAAAATGGCAGAACTTTTTCAGTCAGTTACGTTAAGCCATAGTTAAGGTTTCAGATTGAGACTTACTAGATATTAAGAAAATAAGCTTTTGTGTTCACCACATGTGACGCAATTAAACAATTTGATTATCCGAAGTTATTCAAATTAAAAAATATTGAATGAAAGAATAAACGCTTGAGTGGCTGGCTGATTCTATTCGTGTCCTGTGTATTATTAATTTTGTGACTGTATTTAAAAAAAAGTAGGTACTTATGCAAAGCTGATCTAGGTACTTACAGTCATATTTCAAACAGTCAATTGGCGAAAGCAGCAATTCTAATTAGCATAAAAAAAGCATTTCAACACATTCAGGTGCAAATCGCCAGTACTTATGCAACGAATAAAGTAAAGTAAAATGGCACCCCTTGCATAAGTGATGTCAACTGACCGCTGCGTAGGCGCAGAGTGGGTGTGGGAACCGGTCCCCGAGACACGTGACTCATTGATCAGATTCGGTCTTAAGTGGATCGCTTCATTTACAATATTTTTAACTAGACAAATCGACATGTAGATTAAGACAAAACAAATGATTGATGATCTATGTAAAACAGATTTGATAAAAACATCGATCCATAAAGGTCTATTCATTTTCATATCCGTTTTAAGACTCGAAATAGATTTATCAGTTTAAGCAAAAACCTAACAATGACATAAAAATAGAATCTGATTGAAGACTCAAACCAGCTTCTGAGAATACAACAATCGATTCAGCCTTTCGACATCAATGTAACTGTATAAGAAATCGATTCAACTATGCAGTGAATCAAGTCATGTAGGGGACGAATCGTAGAACAAAAAACATAATAAAGCACTTCTCATTATTTGCACAATAGTACTCTAGTTATCGGTCTTTTGTGTCTTTATATTCAATGGAATAGAGATCAGAATCGTGTGTCGTTGTGTGCTGGGCTTTCGCCACCGCGTGGGCGATGGGAGTAGCTTGGCCCAAATCGGTCAACTAAACACGAACAGGTTGAATAAATAAACTACATCCACAACCATGCTAATATTATGTGAAAGTAATTGTCTGTCTATTGCCTTTTCACACCGATTCAGGTGACATTTGGAACGGATATAGTTTGATACCCTCTAAGAGTCTAAAAAGAGCTTAGAATAGCTATTATTCCAAAAACCATCCGAAATAGGGTTGAAATATCATTACAATTACTACTGTGTTTTTGACAACCGGAATCTACACAGGGCCACAGGGGAAGTCACAGGCAAAAGCCAGTCGAATATAAGTTCGAAACCAGAGAAATCAAGCGTGTCGACTTCAGCGAGTACTGTCCATTATGGGACTCTGGATTAATCGATACAACCTTTGGTCACGATGAATAATCGAGTCGCAAAGGCCAAATTGACATTTATGAATTTCGTAACACTGATAATGATAACATTGTAACTAGGCAAATACATTCGTAATGCATTATAGTTTACAACGTTTATTTACAAAGGCACATAACTGTAGCAAACATATCGGCGCGGCGACCCGAATATTATAGTTTAAAAGTTTAAAAGGCTGGGAAACGGAACGAGCAAGGCAAAATAAAAAAAGAACAGAGACCTTAAAATTTAATTGATGAAAAATATTGCAAAATAATTAAATAAGATAACTTGTGTTGTATGCTCTCTAAGAAGCCCAAGTCTATAAAGAGACGACCCAGGACCGAGCCGCCTGGAGACGCATGATAAGTAGGGCCGACGCCAAATAAAATGGGAATCGGCCAGGCAAAGAAGATGATTAGATGATCTTGTGTTTAATTCGTCTAAAACTTTTTCTTTGTCAAAGACAAACAAAAAAGAAAGACAAAGATTTGAAAAAGTATTGTTGTGAATGTAATACATCTAAACTCAGTCCTAAAACTTATTTCGCCATCATTGCACACAAAGTAGCAAGTTTTGTTGTCACACAATGATGAATACTTGCAAACGTGTCAAAAAGTAATACATCACTCACGAATTTCGTTTTCGTCTCACGCGTTGTACGTCTACGGTTCACAGTCATTCTTATGCAAGAGCAGTTTCAGTTATTGACTGTATTGTTTTGTAGTACCTATTTAACCTATGTTGCCAAATAACATATTTAGCACGCACGTTGCAATAAATAAGCCTTTTAAGACCAGTGTTGAAAAGAAAAAAGATAACCGCGCAATTATGCACGAGAACATTTTTATAGATTCACGATTCGCTTTACATTTACGAACCGTTAATACCACATTCAAACTGTTATACGACTAGTTACATTCAAGTCTGAGTCACCATTGAAAATAAAAGATCTTATATTCTCACCTGCTCTATACAAGTCCATTCCAAGTAATCTTAAACAGTTCGCTTTACAACTTTATTCAGCTGCAAAAATAGTATTTTTAATGCTAATAAACCTTCAGCAGTGGGCAGTAACTTCGACGGAATGGTAGGAGCAAGACATAGTCGTTACGATTAGTACCCGAACACGATTCTATTAAAGTTGTCGATAGTAAACTCCTTGCGCCCGCGCAGAGCGATAAAATTCATTCCAGGACAGATATGCTGCAAGGGGTGCAATCAGGTTCGCCGAGTTTTTTGTTCGGAATTACTTTGTCTTAAAATAGCTGTATGTGAACTGATTTGACTCATATTATCCTTAATAGATAGCAATGTAGAGATAAGACAGTACTTGTATGTATGGATCTAGAGATGGATAAATAAACAGTTAATCATTTAAAAATAAGATACAATTTTTTCAGGGATCACGGTCTGTGTTTACAAAATTAATTCAGGTATCTGCCAGCTATCGTCTTGAGGTCATAGATGAATCAAAAGTGAGAGAGCTTACCTTTGCGGAGACGATTTGTATGTACAATACTTAAGTCATAAAATAACTTTATGTGCATGTTTACACACTAAATATCCCATACAAAAGGCTTAAGATCCTATTATCCGGCTCCTAACCTAACGGTTTGATCTCGATCAATACGCTCGGACAATTTACAATGCGTTAACAATCCTTTAAGTCCTTTTGTTTGTCCACTGAACAGTTGATTTAAATGGACCATAAAACATCGAGAGGCTGATCTTTTAACCGCCATTCAGGAAATAGAGTTAAATCAGTCTGGCTAACTGGACGGTGTCAATGCCACAAAGGCTTTAACAGCCATAGCATCTGAAAACAATCTCTTTCTGCTGGCTATGTGAGATCTTGAACGGGTCATAAAAATACAGTTAAGGCGCTGTTTCTGATCACTGGAAATAAAAGATGAATAGCTTAAAGTTCAGAAACCTTTTCAACGTTCAAGCAATTTTTACCTAGCATATCAACAGACTTTTGTCGACTTTAAAATTATGGACAGCTTATTACAATTTCCATATTGTTCGTGTAAGATAGTATCAGTGATCGTGGCGTAAACATATCGTTTTATTATATAAATAATTCATTACCTTGATATGACGGGAGTAGATTGTGAACGCATTTTTTACAAGGTATTTCCAGACGTGCTGTCGGCTCGAAGGCGTGGTATGGTGAGCGATAGTTAAGCCTAGTGTTGTTTATCGGCAGTCCAATATCGATAGTAAAGGCCAATCTAATAGTATCGATAGTATTGCCATGTGTACAGTAACGATACTACTAGCGATAGTTTTACGTCCGATCGATACTCTCCATAAGTTGAAAGTAAAAAGATCGAAAGTCTCGATATTATTGTATTTTTCTAAAAGCATTAACCAAAAACAATTAATGATAGTAGGATCGATAGTTTTTTTTT